AAAACCGACATGGCGGCGAGGTTCGAGGAGGCGCTGGCGGCCGTACGCGCTCGGAGCGACGGGTCTGCGGCGGGTGGTGCTGCCGGGGTTGCGCCAGCGCCGATGTATGGGGGCGCGGGGGCCCAGGGCTCCTCGTCCGATGCAGTCGTTACCGAGCTAGGACGTAGAGCCACGGACCATGCTGAGGTCCCCTTGCCTAGCGAACGGGATACGCCACCCCCCTTTCCCCCTGGGTGTCGCATTCCCCCCGGTTCAGGAGGCGGTCGTTCCGACTCGTTTTGCGTGAAGCCCTATGTAGACGGTGGTATCCTTGTCGAAGTCATGTGGATCCCGACTGGCGCACGGTGTAAAGTGTCGTCCGCGTCGTGTGAATCGGACCATTTCCGTGTGTTTGGCGCGCGAGGGCCTGGGGACCCCCCCCCCCTGTTGTCTCCGCATAAACTCTCTTCGTGGCAAACACGATTGTGTGTGCTAGGGTGGGACATTGATATAGTAGCTATGACGATTTCGGTTCCCGCAGACAAGCTGGCACGTCTGCGGGCGACAATCCGCGAGTGGCCCCCCAAGCGCCACTGTGCTTCCGAGTCCGAGTTGCGGGGGGTGATTGGTTCGCTGTTGCATATATGTGAAGTCGTGCGGCCTGGTAAATACTTTGTTCGCCGTGTGCTCAACCAGTTGGGGCTCCCGCCGGTGCAATTGACAGCCCGGGGGCAGGAGCGGACACGGATAGGTCCCGAGTTTCATGCAGAGATGCAGTTTTGGCGTCTGATGGTAGACGGGGGCTTGGGGTCGCCGTCGCGGGTGTTAACAGCCCCACTTGTTAATTTGTTTGTTTTTTCGATCAACCATATTCGTGTTTTTTGTGGTCAGATGCATCTGGTGATGCCATGGGGGGGTATTTCTTGCATGCTGAATTCCGTTCGGGAGTATAATGGTGTTTCGAATTCAGTCAGGACGTGCGGGAGCGGTTTCGCCAGCAGGCTGAGGTCTTGGACCCGGAGGTCGCCGATATTTGTACCGGCGTTTTAGCTGCGAGTACGTCCGCGAGTCAGTTGCGCAGTCGTCTCGAAGAACTTACAGGTCGGGTTGGCGGGCTTAGTGTGTTTTTCGCGGGTTGATTAGCGAGTCGGTGTACCTCTCGGGGGAGGCGGACGATACGGTGCTGGGACAAGCACTCCTGGAATTTGTGGCGTGGTGTTGTGCAGGTAAGGGTAACGTTGCACCGACCATTTCCGGCAAGCTCGCCGCTGTACAGTATTTTCATCGCGTCGATAGGCAGGTCTATGCTTGGCGTTGTCGTATTTTCTGGTGGCGCGTTCGGATGTGATTTTGCCACGATGTCGGGACACTGCCACCAGGTGCATTGTTTGCGGCGGAGCGACGTCGAGTTTTTCGACGGGGAGCACGTGTTAACCCCGTTGCACTGGCACAAGGCTACGGGTGTCCGGGTTCGGTTTCGTGGCCACAAGGGAGATCAGTCGGAAATGGGGGCGTACGTTACACGAGTGCGCGATGTCGCACGAGGTCCGAGTTCTCAGATTGGCGCCGGTGGCGGTGCCGTGGCGGTGTTGGTGGAATTGATGGCGTGCCATCTTGCTTTGCCTGAGAACGCCCCTCTGTGCTCGTTTCGTTGCAGTAGGAGCAGGTCGGTTAAGGTTTGGGGATATTCCAAAGCTCTTAGCGCCCTTCGCCAGATTGTGGAGAAGGTAGGTGGCGACCCGAGACAGGTTGGCTTGCATTCATTGAGGATCGGGGCCGCCACCACGTTGGCAGCGGGAGGAGACGTACCGGATAGAATTATACAGAGAGGGTAGATGGAAGGAAGGGTCCGGTACGTACAAGATATATACTCGGGACAATATGGTAGACGTAGACATAGTATCCCGTAAACTAGCAAAGGGATGGAAGGAGCAGAAGGAGGGTTAGCATATACGAAGGTACGGGCAAGGGAGACAGAATGCCGTCCCACTAAACGTCGATGTTGGTGGATGTCAATGGTAGAGTACCATTGGGGGTCTCGGTATACTGAGACGACATTTTGTTAGGCCCAGCCAGTTGACATGAAAGGAAACTTGGATTCTGGATGAGAGAGGGAAGCGACCGGTGTCGCCCCCTCGTTATTTGCCAGAGAGTTACCTTTCAGACTTCGTGGAAAATAATAATAAAAATGACACTTCGGAAAAATACAATAAAGCGAATATTTCAGATGGATCCTACCAAAGGGGGGAGGAGTCTGAAATTGGTGTTTATTGGAGTTGGTAGAAGGAGTGGGCATTTATATTATATGGCAAAGAGTATGTCTGCGTGCTTGCAGGAGAGGAGGCATGCGCACCGAGATAAGGCAGCTGCCCGCAGGACATTCCGTTTGCGCCCGATCACGTTGGAGCATCAGCAGTGCTGGAGCACAGGGACTGCTAGACGTACGATTGGACAACACTCTGCCAGCTGCTGGTTTAGGACATTCTGTTGCGGGAGCTAGTGTTGTCGTCTTCCCACCCACGCCACCCTCGATTTTTTTTTTCCGAAAGAGGGGGGGGGGGGGGGGGAAAACAGGGGGGATTTTTACCGGGAAAAAATTTAGAAAAAATGTCGATTTTTGATTGCTTTTTTTCCCCGGGGAACTGGGTGATGAGGGTCTGATTGGTGGATGTGGATGTCAATGGTAGAGTACCATTGGGGGTCTCGGTATACTGAGACGACATTTTGTTAGGCCCAGCCAGTTGACATGAAAGGAAACTTGGATTCTGGATGAGAGAGGGAAGCGACCGGTGTCGCCCCCTCGTTATTTGCCAGAGAGTTACCTTTCAGACTTCGTGGAAAATAATAATAAAAATGACACTTCGGAAAAATACAATAAACTTTATGATTCAGGAGGTAGGTAGGTGTGCCGGACGCCGGATACCACACAAAAAAAGCCAATCCATCCGTGGTGGTTCACCATGAACTTTTAAGGCGTGGAGTTAGTCACCATGTCAAGGCCGCACGATTACATACATAGTCTACGCTTTCTCCGCATTTTAATTATAGACAGATACAAGAAGAGTGTGTGCGAGAGAAAAAATCATGATGGATCTTTCTTTTCTTTTCTTCGTCTTCTTGTTGTGCAGATAGATTTGCGCAGCGACACACAACGAAGGGCTCACATAGATACACTTGGGCTGACATACTATTTGATGCACCTCTGTAGTCTTATGTCTTTGTTCATGTCGTTCGTTCGAGTCATCATCGTCACATCCATCATACACAAATAGGCAGTCACAACATCACCAAGGATTGAACACGGGAAGTAAAGGCACGTCGTGGACCGACCTAAGCACACGAACGAACAAGATGACCAAATATGACAGATGTTTCGACATTTCCTCAAAATGAAAATGGGGGTCTCAGTCTGCGCTTTCCCGAAATAAGCACTACCCAAATCTTGTTGCATCTCCCGCCAAAGCCTCATCAAGAACGACACCGTTCAAATCCTACTACCCAAATGCCGCAACACTCCCGGGTTCAATGGATCAAACAATTACTTATTGCCATTCATTCCACAAGCAAGCCGCTTGCTGCTCATTACCGCTCCTACATGCAGCCAGTCAATTCAAGGTCGCCAAGCCGACCGTGACTTCGCGTTCCCCATCTTGCTCATCACGAACGCGCCCCGGTGCGCACGTTGCGCCGCCATCATCCCGGCCGAGGCCGACTCCCGCGTCTTGAAGGCCCGACAAACACGCCTCCTCTGCGGGCGAGAGGACACCGCCCGCTTGGCCGCCGCCAGTTCCCGGTGTTCCCACAGCTCCAGCGTTGTGGCGATGGACACCGACGACGCCGCACTTCTCAACGAAGAGGAGGAGGGTGGGGTGCTGCTTGAGGCACACAGCGCGGCGCCTCCGGCTAAATCGTTCCCCGAGGAGCACAACCAGCTAACCCCACTCCCGACATCACCAACACTTTCATCACCAACATGAACAACGCCGATGCCGCCGCGACAAGCACAGCACGGCGAGCTCCCCTGTCCAATCGGAAACGAACTCTTGTCGCCACCCTTATCCCTCAACACATCATCAGTGGGCCGTCTTCTTGTGTCCGCGGCGGCGGCGGTGGAAGGGCGACGGTCGACCTGCCGGTTCTTTCTCTGCCGGCAATGCTTCCGGCGGTGGCTCCGCTTGCTGTGCGGTGGTGACGACCCCGTGAGCGTACCCGGCCGGAGCCCGCTCCCTCTTCCAGGGCTGCTGTTTCTCTCGCTGGAGAAGGAAACCGACGTCGTCGCGTCTACCGCCACCGCGGTAAGGGGGTTGAAGTCGCAGCCGGTGAGCGAGGTGGAGTTGACGCCCGGCGGCCCCAGGCGGATGAAGTCTGAGGAAGCCGCCGCTGTCTGCCGTTCCCATGGCCCTCCTCCTGCTGTTCTTTTCCCTCTTTCCCCGGTGGAGTGCTCCCGCGCCGGCTCTGCCGCTGCTATGCCCTCGCCGCCGCTCGAGCAGCGCGGAAGGTCGTGGGTGCCATGGCTTCTTTCGGCTTTCTCTTGTCGCAGAGACGAGGAGGGCCAACAGGTGAATTGTGGTGTTTTTGGAGACCCTGTGTCGTTGTCGTCGTTGTCAGTGTTGCCACCCGCGTCGAAGTGGTCCCGCTCTAGCTGGCGCGCTACCGGCTGCAGCAACGCCGGCGCGGACGATATTGTGGTGACGGGCGCAGGTGCTGACTGTGGCCTCGAGAACGAATACTGAGGAGGCTGTTGTTGATGTTGTTGCTGTTGTTGCTGTTGCTGTTGATACTGCTGCTGCGGCGGCTGCTGCTGTTGCTGCTGTTGTTGCTGTTGCTGCTGCTGCTGCTGCTGCTGCTGCTTGTCTCCTTGTTGTTGTTTCTCTGGTTTTCCTTCGTCGCCATCACCCCGAGACCACAACCATGGGGTCCAAACAGCCGCCATAACGTTCATCCTGCCAAGAGCGAGCGGTTCCGTTGTGAACGCCAGTGGTAGATCGGTCCGGTACGAGAGGGCAGGCACGCGCGGTACATCACGCATTTTCCCTTTTTGTTATTTTGCAATCAGAGCGCGAGGCGCACGCACACTTAGGCTCTATTTCGCGCCGCAGAGGAAACGGGGTTCCATTGTGCAGGCAAGCATCACTGAAAACCATCTCATTTCCCAGGCGCTCTTGCGAAAACACCACCTCGGTTGACAAGAGGAATGGTCATTTACCTCTGCACACGGCATATCATTTCGTTCCGTCCTGGCGTTGCAGAATCGAGCACGCTACCGCCATGTTCATAGAAACCCTCACCTCTCCTCCAAGCCCGATCCCCCCTGGATTCCGGAGAACAGCGGTACGGGTGTCAGCATCACGGGAGGCGGTCTTGTCCTCGACTTCGTCAGGTTCGGCAATGCATCGTTGCTGCATGTTCCGGAAAGAAGACAAGGGGGGCCATTCATGTTGGGCGGCGGCCGCACGCGGAAGGGGTGCACGGGCATCAGTCTTGACTGAACAAAAAACTCGCTTGTATATACGAACAGAGAGCGAGATGCTACTGCGGGGTCTTCTGTTGAACGACAAATACACAAGAACAAATCATAGACTGGCCAGTGGATCGAAGTCGAGCCGTTGGCTGGTCGTCTCACCGTCCTCTCCTCCCCACCCATATCCTCAAACATGGGTTTTCTGCGCACCGAAAGAACAAGGGCTCGAATGATCTCGTCGCACGACCTAGGTCCAAAACAAGCGCGGGCCGAAGCGCTCTCACCCCTAGTCGAGTCAAACGGTACTACAACAGCCGGCGGACTTTCGCGGTAGTGAGGTCCGTATGTACCTTGACCAGTTCCGCGGGAGAGAGCGCTCTCCGCCAATCCCTGCGGCCGTCAAAGGGCGTTCCTGTCCCGCCGAATCGGCTCTGCAGCCGTGGCCAACCACACGTGCTCTGGACCGGAGCCGGTACAAAGGCTCAGTCCACACGCCGTCTATCGCTCGGAGAAACGCCTCCGCGGGGATGGCGAAGAACTGGAGAGGGCACGTGGCCGTGAGGTTGCAGGTGTAGCTGGGTAGCCCGGACAGGGCCTGCGGATGAAAAAAATGATTGAGGGGGGGGGGGGGGGGCTCATGTTTTAGATGCCGTAGCGGTTTGACCGTTGACCACGCGCCCTCGATAGGTCGGAGCGTTGTTCCCACAGAGCCTTTCGTCGATGCCCAATCGTTCCTTCCTACTGTGCCAAAGGTGGATCAATCATATTTCCCCTACCCTCATTATTGGTATCACTTCCCGCTGATTGAGGGGAAGGCGAAAAGACCGGGTGAGCCGACCTGCAGATGAGGAGTTTAGCAAGGGAACTATGTCCAAGCGGACTACCTGACCACCGTGTTGTACAGGAGCCCACTCATCACGGAAGCATGCGTACTGCTGCGTGGCCTGATGCCGCTAGGTTTTCCCTCCACCCGATGTCGATCTCGGGAGGTACCTACGGGGTGCGCGGCTGTCTGATTTCCGTCTACAGAGACACAACGGAAGTGATTTTTGAGCTTGTGAGCCAGCAGCATCCGAACCTCGCTAGTCCTCTCTCAAACACCTCTTCTACACTGATAGCAAAAAGACAACCTTGAGCGTCCGACGACTTGCACAATTAACGTTCTTCCCTCCATGCAATTCGCCGAATACCTCACGGCGTTTCGCGCTTGGTGATGTGAGAGCCTGGTCCGGTGATAACCCGGCGTGCTTTGTAGGGATGCGAGGTCAATGGTCTAATAACGACTACGGAATGCATGACTATGAGTACCCCCCCCCCACCCCCCGCCTCCCATGCACACCTCTTCAGCTCCGAACAACTGCCCTGCCCTGATTCGCAGCGAGCTGTAGTTCCTGATGGTATTCTCTCGCGGGTCTCCCAATCGTACAGCCTCACCAGACTCGACCAGGAGTACCTGCAAGTGCATGGAAAAACAAGAACTCGCATGCATAAGTCCAAACGAACAAACTCGTCCCTCATGGGCAAATACGTTTGTCTCTCGAGAACGCGGCGCGGTTTTTTCCCCTCAGTCCTCGCTGGGAATCAACGCCGCGGGGGTTTCGTGACTGCGTGTGCCGTCTCCTGGGGGGGGGAGGGGTACTCATAGTCGTGCATGCCGTAGTCGTTAGACCATTGACCTTGCATCCCTACAAAGCCGGGACGGAGCACGCCGGGTTCTCACCGGACCAGGCTCTCACATCACCAAGCGCGAAGCGCCGTGAGGTATTTGGCGAATCGCATGAAGGGTGCGCTGCAGCCTGTCAAGGGTGTTCCGCATCTTGTGCTTACTTCCTTGCGTACGGATGACAGCTGCGTATGACTTAATTCATTTTCTGGTGCTTTCACTTCCAGAGACAGTTATAAGCACTGCTGTGTAACTGCCTCGAGGGTGCTTGACCAATTGAACACAACGTGGTGCGATCATCCCCTTTGCGTGGAGTGAGGGTTCTCGACCCCGCACAACATGATCTACTCGACCACCATTCACTATGGTTACCGCAAAAACAATAAAAAGCCTGAGGCAAAAAAAATGAAGCGGTAACCTGGTGGCCGAGCTCACGAAGTGATCGGCTTTTTTTTCAACGTCGTTGCCAAGCGATGAAAACCCGACCCCGAGTTGTCTCCTGGGGGGGGTGATATATTCTCGGCGGTCCCACGCCGGCCAAAGCCTTTGCCTGGACGAACCTTGTCCACTGCAGAGCCTTTTCGCCGTACCACGGCTGCTGCGGGCTCTTCCCGACGCTCCATGAGCAGGGCTACTTGCTCAAGAGCGGCGGCACTAAATCCTTTCCCAAACACCTGGTAGAAAAAGAGAGAGAGAGAGAGAGAGAGAAAGAGCGACAGACGCGGAAAGAAGCGCAGTTGAGCCCCGACAACCTTGACCCGGAACTTTCTCTCCACTTGCTAATGAACAAAAGAAACGGCGGAGAGAGGTAAACGCCTCCCACTGAAGCGCTCGGTTAGGATGTATTTTCTTTCCTAACCTTCTGCACTAGCAATGGGTGCGTTAGGGCTATGTGTAGTGTTTTTTTTCGCTTTCCCGATTTTCGTTGCTTCCCAAAATATGTGAAGGTTATAGCCAACAAACTTTGTCTAGTTTTCGGAAGACCACGCTTGTCTCGAGGCTGTGTTTTATTTTTGACAGCACGGGATGCCTCGATTCCGCAATGTGGCGACAGGCGCTGACAGAAAATCCTTGGAGATAACTCAGGGTAACTTGAGGCCTCTGTTTCAGGCTAGCTGTACGCCCCACAACAGTACTTGTACACCGTCCGGGTGCCGCAATAAACACCTGTTTCGACGATGGGCGTTGCCCTCGCTCACGTCAGTCTGTCGAAGGAAAGAGACCTTCACTTCCGTCTGGTGCTTCGCCTCCTCGCGCTCGAGCTCCCGCAAAAATCGGCGGCTCACCCTGCCGATACACGACCCCTGTCGAGCTTCTAACTTCCACCGTGTCGTCCCAGTAGCTCTCTCGACCGCGGCCGGAACGACTTCGAGGCTTACCGGTTTGTCGGGGTCACTCTCCGGGTCAACGATCTTGACACGGTGTAACAACAGGTAGCAGTCGAGGGATTGCCCCGGCAGCAAGGGGAGGGTCTCTTCCCCTTCGTTTGAAGAGAAGTCGACGTCCGACGCGTTGACCTCAGAGGGTGTTGTTGCCCTATGGACGGAAAAAATCCCTCCGTCAAGGGTGCTCTCGATGTCACTTCCACAACCACCACCGTGCTCGGACGTCAAGCCGCCGTCTTTCCTCGGCGCCACAGGGCTCCAGGTAGACCCGGCGGTGCTCCTGCTCTTGTCCCCCGATGAGCGGGCTGTACCAGGGATTTGGACCCCGTACACAGCTGGATGGTGAACTCCTCCGGCGGTCCCCTTTTCAGGTTTGCTTTCTTGCGCCTCCAGCCTTGCAGAATGCTCGCCGCGGTCCTGCCGTAGTTGCGCCTCAGATGCGGTGAGCTCAACGCTGAGCGTGTGCTTCAGACTGTCGCTCGTGCCGACGTAGTGTAGCGGGGTAGGAGTCAGGAGCGTTGCCGATAAGCGGTTTGGGATTATTTCCATCGGTGCGAGGCTGCCGCTGACAAGGAAGTAGCTGAAGGAGGGGTCAGTACAAGCCCAGGAGGCGTCGTCTCCCTCATGGGCGAAGGTGACGGACATGTTGCGAGCGAGGCCCTTGAGTTTCCATTCAGGAATGTTCTGTTCCAGTCAGAAAGAGGCATAGTAGGTGAAGATGACGCACAGGGGAAGGGGGGCGTATCTTTCTTGATGTACCTATACAACATCATTATCATCATGTAGCAGCGATTAGGACGTATGGTTTCCTCTCTCGTGACACGTGCACGTACCAGGTATGTACTGAGAATAATACCATTGTTTGGGTTGGTTGAATCTGAAACGAACCTGAAGGTAGGGTATTCTCTGGAGACGTGAAGTCAGCCACGACACCTCGTGCGCCGGCCGATGTTCTGCCAGCCTAGAACAGACGCTTGCCAGGCGTTTTTCTGTCACTGTGCGTGGTGCGCGACATCTGCCACCACAAAAAGGAGGGCGCGGTGTGATGTTGTATGCCATACTTGTAAAGTACAAATAAATATTGTGGCTTGGATGGAAATGATCTACAGCTACATTTATTTCGATGTCTGTCTACAAAAAGATTGCATGAAGTAGAGTCTCTCTGCCGTCCTTCATAATCCTATCCTCGGGCAAACACGAAGAACACCATCCGAGTTGCCTGCGCGCCTGCTCCGCTCGCCGTGCGCGTCGAATCAGCGCGTCTGCGTGCTTCGATACGCCAGAAGATCATCGCCACCGCTATTGTAACTCAATCGAGGTACAAGTATGAAATTTGTTTTTCTCCGCATATGTTTCCGTTCGGACAAGTAATCTTGACGTACGTGTGGAGTTGCGTATGCACGAAGGGTTGGCTGTTGGCTGTGTTTCTTGCTTCGTGTACAGGTCAGCTACAAGTATGTGCCGTCCGAAGCAACTACGGTGATAAAAATGCGCACCACGCGTTGGCTTCCGTCGGCGAACGCGCGAAAAACACATCTGATTTGACTTCCTGTTAAGTGCGCCACATGTCGTGCGCGTCGGTACGACGGTCAAGTCGATGGGCAAAGTGTCCGATAGTAGGTGTTCATGATGGTGCCCACAAGTATACCTCTGTTGTGTCGAGCGACTGCAAAGGCTGGCCGTCTTCACGTCCCTTGGCCCGAGCCTCACGTCCACAGGGAGCGGGTCGTTGCCGCCTGTCATGCGAGTTTGACCGTCTAGGTCTCCCGAGATGAGTCCCGTGATGGGTAGCTTGACCATCAAGAATGGGTACAAGTCTTTCTGTGTGTGTATTTATTACTCCTTGAATCAAACCGATGCTCTGTGTTTTGTTCGTCGTGAGCGAGGGACTGTCCACAGCCGTTTCAGACAGCCGGCCTACAGGAGCAACGCCTTTCGCTTCTCTACAGACCCGTTCGTTCCAGCTTGCGCACCCCCCGCTGTGGCGAAGTGGCGGAGTTGCTTGTTGCTTGCCACCCTGTCTTGCGTGTGCTGGAGCACCTAGCTTTCAAGCATGGCATGCGAAGCACGTATCATTCGCGCGTTGCGCACGATGGAGTACCCGGGGTTGGACCACGTCTCAGGATCGGCAGCATCAGGTCGGAGTTTGGTCGCGCAGCCTCATGAGCTCGCCAAGATCGTCGGTTGGATAGAGGACAGAAAGGTGTGTGCGGCGGGCTTCGTACGGAGAAGGAAGAAGGACTGGAGGATTTACCTGTTGGTGGTATTTTGCAGGGGCTACTAGAACATCCTCGCGTAGGCAGCCATTCACGTCCAAGGGTGGAGAATGGATAGCCAGAGGTAATTTTTGTCATTGCCCAAACACCCCTTCAAGCACACCGCAGCAAGTATACTATCGGGCAGAGAGCGTGCACTACTGCCCTGTACAACGCCTTGACAGCTGCTGGTTATTTTGCTATCAAACACCGTTCGTGTGGGGTTGGTGTACATAGATAGAGCACGACACCACATGTATGGCACATTCATGAACGAAAAGAGAAAATGTTAAAACCCCGGCTGTGTGGCCGACCCATGGTTGCTTCTGTCGCCCCGATGGCCTACAGCATCTATCCGAGATAAACTCTCCGCATAAATATAGGAGGCGGCCGCGTATGCCTGCTCCACGACATCCCCCCCCCGCCCCCTCCGCTTGGGCTGTTACATCTGCTGATGTGTGTGGTTTTGTTTAGGTCCGAGGCCTCGCCATCTCCGACCGTGAGCCCCTGCGCACCCCCGGGCCAAAATGGGAAGAGGTGTTATTTAGCTACTTGCAGGAGATGGGCTGCCCCAACGATTTCAAGGCAACCGGGGGAGGCGGAGGGGAACCAAGTAGTGCCGCCGTCCTGCGGGGAGTATCGTGGTTGGTTACCGAGGCCGTGGCCTGTGATTTCGACGACAACGGGAAGGAATACAAGGCTGCTGCTAGAGAGGTACGAGCGTTCCTTTGCGATAGATCTTTGCTTCGGTCTGCAACAGGCGACGATTGGTGTCAATAGACCAGTGACTTAAATCAATACACGGCTGTTTACACGGCTGTTCGCAACATGTTGTCTTTCGTGTCGATGCGTACATTCGTGTTGTGGAATCGTAACTCACGAAAGACATGGCGTTGGCTTCGAAGGGGGGCGTATCATGGCACATTTACCACGCATGTACAGGTCAGGTTACTGCCACGTGTTGTTTTGACCAAGTACCAGAAAATTGTCTACCGACCTCATGTGTGTGAAGATTAATTCTATTTTTTTCTATGCCACAATGCCAATATATTCTCCCTGAGACTTGCTATCGCCCTCTTTACTGGTCATCAGTCAATCTCACTCTCCCCCGCCATCCTCACCGACACACGACGGTTACATGTAAATCTCCTCTACAAACACCAAATTCTGCAGTTGTTGGCAAACCCGAGGTGTTCTCCACAAGCCGTGGGAGGGGCAAGAGGCGGCAGCAGCAGCGACCATGGCTCGGTGCAGCCAGAACCGGCGCAGCCTACCATCAGTACTGCCGGCGTTGCCATGGACATCGGTCCTGGAGGGGAACACCGAATATTCCGCGAGCAGCTCAGGGGGTTCACGGCTGGGGTAGAGACTGGGGACGAGGCTTGCGACAGCGTGGCGACGGTGCTTCGGATGCTCTACTTGTCGGACTTGAGGAACCTGCAGGACGAGGTCAACGGTGTCATAGCCTTGGCGCAATCCACTAGACGAGAACAGAAAACAGCAGTGTGACGACAACGAATGTTGCCGTTGATATCGAGACCCTCCTCCGTAGAAGGGTGCTTTGAACATGGGGTGTGACGAGAGGTAGACATTTTGGGTTTGCTCTTCGATCTGCCGCAACATGGACACCAGTTGTTGGCGCTCATCCGAGAGAAGAGAGTCGTGCAAGTATTTGAATCCACCCGTGCCCTCGGTGAGCGGGAGGGGAGCTCGCGGCTGAGCTACTCGACTCGTAGGACCCCAGCCGTCAGGCAAAGAGCAGTGGCCAAAATGAGGTACAACCGATCCGAACACGGCCATTTTCGGGTACCATTATTTGCGCGGCAGCTGGCAGCGCCCTCCTGGCGCCATCTGATTGGCCGCCGCCCACCCCTACCCGGCCCTGACCCTGTTCCCGCCGGGTGCATTCAATCTTGGCTTCTCATCCCCCGGAGGGGTGCCCGATTTTATACTCTCCCCTACCCGAAAATGGCTTTGGCTCTTCGACCAACAGCCCACTAGCAGACGACGCTCACGAACACACGTCAGCGACGTCCCGCACAAGAATTCCGACGCTTCCGACGGCGGGCGGAGGCGGACTCACCGGCGGCGGCGGAATTCTCTTTTGGCTACCTATGTACCGCACCTCCTACAGCGGCTACAGCTCCGAATCCCACCAACACACACCAACAAAACGAACTTCTACAGTCATCTGACCCCCAAAACCCTCTGGCAGAGCATACAGCAATACTGCTGTGGGACGAGAATACTGTGGGTGTTTGCCTTATTCATAAATCGGCAATTAATTTCTGATTCGCTCTGCTTTTCTTTTTGCTTACACAACGTTCTACTAAAAACTACTTCGAAGTACGATAATGTGCGCTGCTTTCCTCGCCTCCCGTATACTCAACCCCGATTCTCACCATCGACGACTGTACATACGAAGACCACTTCCTAGAAGCGACCTTGCACATGGATGGGAGAGGGGCGGGAGAGAGATAGTCTAATAAGCTGCTTGGTGGTATTTTTCTTTCTTCATACGCTGTGTTCGACACTCTCTCTCCTCCCCCCCGTAACCCCTCGTTTCTCTTACTCTGCATGTTGTAGGGTATTAATTTTGCTAGCTCCTGTTTTCTCATTGAGACGTTTCTTAGTCTATCTATCTATCTATGTAGTGGGACGGACCCGATTTATTCGCTGGGTATGTATCCATCCATCCGTCGTTGACATTTTTTTACCCGAATCGGTATACCTTCTTCGCAGTGTGGCCCAGGTTGAGTTACTCTTTTCTTATATTTCGTGGAAAAGTGAGCATTTTTGTCTTGCCTTCGTTTTTCCTAAAACCAAATTTAAATACTCTCTCTGTCCTCCGGCCGTCGCATCACTTTTGTTTTATTCATTGTGCGTCTCCGCTCTTCGAACAAAAACGATGAGAAACCAAGAAACAACACTTTTTTTCTTCTTCGTTCCTCCTCTCATTTCAAAACTCAGCAGCAGCAGTGGCAAGTGGAGTAAGAAAGAATGTGTGGGGGAGTTTCGTCGGGGGAATGGTCAAGCGAGGGCGGGGATGACGTAGCAGTGGAGACGACGTCGGCAGCAGCAGCAAAGAAAGTAGCAACAAGGAGAGTGCACACCGCAGCTGCTCCTCCTGTGAGTGAGGCGAAAGGGCGTTCTGCCAGAGTCCACCGCGTGGTAGACAAAGGTCAGGGGTGGGCCTCGGTTAGGTGTTTCAGCGGAAAACCTCTTCAGATTCATGAGCACAACAAACAAACACCTACTACGAGCGTTGCGGCGACCACAAGCGGTAAGCCGCGAAGCTCCTTTCCTTGAAATATTTCCTTGGAAATATTGTATCCAGACCACCTGCTGCCCACAGAGTAATTCATATTCCCGGTATTCCGACGTATGGCAGGTAATAGCGTGCATATCGTTCCCGGTATTCCGCCATAAGGCAGGTATGCATATTATATTCGTATGTACAATGGATGGTGGCAGCAGCAAGCGACGTACATGCATGCGTACGTAATACCCTCTTGCTCCCTCTTGCTCAGTGTTGCCGGGGAGTGAGCGATAGCGAGCGACTGTGAGAGAGACCGGAAGGAAAAAAAAGGAAGGAATCGGACTGAAGCGAAGCGATTCCAACCTGCACACAGTGAGTGGTCGAACCACATGCTGCACCTCCACACAATCTCGTCACAACGTATAATAAGCAACGAGGGGTTACGAGGGGGGAAGTGTGTCAAATAATACGAGAAAGAAAAACGCCATCAACAACAACACTTTCTCTTCTTATTCCCCCTCCCTTCATCCATGTGCTGCCGGCTTCCTCAGCGAGACTTACAGCTGGCGGGTTCCGCGGTCAAGACGAATTGGGTCTCCCGCGGCGAAAAAAACTTTTTTCAAAAAAACGCTTTTGGTTCTAAGTCTAAAACGACGTTTCAGCGCATAGAAAAAAGAGAAATAAAAAAAAATCAGTTCGGATCATGCCGAACTTTTTTTTTCGGCGCATTCCCGATCTCGCCGCCTCCATTTCTCCTCGGCAATCGACTCCGCTTGGCCGATTTAGGGGGGGTAGAGCCACTCAGAAAGTTGGTCTGACCAAAAGTGGCCGCGGGAGGGGGCCATATATGAGTGGGGCTGGGGCTGGAGCTGGCATCCCAGCGGGCAACTGCATCCGCATCGTACCGCTGGGAGACAAGCAGTGGAAAGTAACGCACCAATGGGTTCCACACGACCTAGGCCTCAAGCTCACCACCAAGCTGATGGACCAGCGGAAGGATACCCGCGTTGTCGTACAGCTTGTGGCCTACCCCAAGGATGACGAGGATGCCTTATGCTCGAAAGCTAGGGAAAAGGCCGAGGAAATCTTGAAGACGAGAAGGGACAGATACGAAAAAACACTGCAGCCTAGCAGCGGCGTGCGAAGATGCGGCAACACCGGCAGGAGGGCAGACAGCGAGATGAGCTGTCCAGTGAGAGCGGCGTTGCCGCGGAAGACTCGTGCTGGCGTTACAAGGCCGACTGCTCCCGATCGCCCCCCTGAGGAAGAGGTAAGAATCTGCTGCTGCTGGGTGCTGCTGGGTCTGTCTGCTGTCTTTCTCTCGCTATTCCCTCTTGAACCCCTCTCCTCTTCTGTTGTACTAGATGAAAAAACAACAACCTTGAGGGTACTGCTGTATGGGAAAACAAAACTGAAAGGTTGCCTGCATGTACTGGTACCACCTTTGGTTGTAGACTGCTGTCTGCTCTCTTTACCGTAGATGCCTGCCGACTGCTGAAGGTAACAACGAGTGTTCGCTGTGATGCGAGACTTCTTCTCTACCTCCAGAGTTGTGGATTGCTCTCGCTCGATGCGTTGTATGCCACCACTGGCGCAACTTCCGATTGCTGTCTACGGCGAGTGTACATTTGGTATTCGCATCGAAGTAAAAATTGAATCACAGGCTTTCATTCTTGATTTCTTCTGCTGCTACCCCAGCGCTGACGTTTCCAAATGCCCCCACTGCTGTACGTTGCACTTGACCCACCCTGCCGCTCAAACCTTCCAGCCACCAGAGCAATTCGAGTGGAGTGACACCTCGCCAGCATTCGTGGCGGCCATGAGAGCGATGACCACAACAGAGTTGTTGCGGTGTCTGGCAGAGCTCAAGGTGCCCGCCGCTGACAAGCTTCGAGAGCAGCTGGAGGAAGCGAGGGAGCTCCAATCGGCATGTCGTAGAGCCTTAAAGGATGCCGCAATCCAAGGGCGAACCAAAGAGGGAAGGAGAACGTTCCAGACGTTGCTCACGGCTGTTGCGTACGATGGAGACGGGCCTTCGAAGGTGACAGCCAAGCGCAAGTCCGAGATCTTTGGCGTTCACCCAGAGCACCTCGTCGTCGCCCGACGGCGGGTGACAGCGCTGAGGCCTGAGCTCCCTCCACTTCAGGCAATCGACGAGAAGGCGTACTACTTCCACTCCCGGACCAAGAGGAGCGACGCAACCCCTCCAGAAATGCTGGAGCTCATGGGAACATTCTGGCACACCGACGAGGTATCTCGTGCATCGGGGAACTCCAAGGACATCTGGCGGGAATCCAAGTCGCCCAGTGCGAAAGGACACCCTCGTCGGCAGCTCATCGTGGAGGGACAGGGTGAGGCAGTCTACGAAAAGTTCTTGGTGTGGCCAGGTTGGATCAACTTCAAGAGGGTCTGGAAGGAGGAGAACGGCGAGGTCCTGGCGGACCCCGGCCGCACTCTGTTCCTCTCGACGCGGTGCAGGTGCTTGACTTCCCCGAAGACAGACCAGTGCGCGTGCAAGATCCACACGCAGCAAACTTATTACCTGGCTGCGCTTCGTGAGGTTGACGTGCAGGGGCGTGACGCGTGCAACTGTCGGTGGTGCAGCGTGGAGAATGGAGGCTCCGAGTGGAAGAAGATGTGGTCGAACCTTGGGTCTTTCTCGGAAGCCATCGCGTGCCCAAAGGTTGACCTGCGAGCTGGGGACCCCGACGCCACGGGTGAGTTCATGGGGCGGAAGCCGGAATGCGGTTCTTCGGACTGTGAGGTCTGTGGGTTCGGGCGGGAGGGGGGCATTCCCACGTGCAAGGCACTGGAGGAGTCTCAGCAGCTGGTGGAGTGGACGCGCTACGAAGATCTAGACAGGGAGGGGAAGAAACCGCTGCCGAACCAACTAGTGACCAAGGAGGGCAAGCTCTGCGATCTTTGGAGGGATTTCAAGCAGCACAGCAAGGTGTACATGGATCACCACACGAAGGCCATGTGGGGGAGGAACTGCCACAGGGAGGACATGTACACGTTCCCAAACGGCGACCTGGTTATTGAGGTGGACTTCATCGAGAAGTTCGAACATGTCCCTCCATCCGTTCTGACGTGTGCGAGACACGAATCGACCACCCTCATGGTCGCAGTGGTACACTTCAGCCCGCAAGTGTTGGAAGGCGGCGGCAGGGTGCACCTCACCGAGACATGGATCTTTGCTTCCGAAGACCCTCGCCACGACTTCGACTTCCACCTCCATGGGATGCGTCAA